TTTAGTCAACATGTTTGTCACTGATGAATATATTCAGTGGTCAGCTGACTCAGTAGAACCTCTCCGCAAGATATTGCAGCAGCCACATTGGAGGTACAAGACATAACAATAATTTGATTGTCATTATTGTGATATGCTAAAATGTATTTTTTTATCTCATTATCTTAAATGTACATCCAGGTAACCCTGTGAGCAGGGCCGGTGCAAGGATTTCTGCTGCCCTAGGCATAGATCCATTTTGCCGCCCCCTCATGTCACTCACTTACTGACAGACACACACTGGCAGATACACACACTAACTGACAGGCACACAGACTCACTCACTGACACACACTCACTCACTGACACATACACACACAGAAACTCACTGACAGACATACACTCACTCACTGACAGACAGACACACACACACACAGACACTCACTGACAGACATACACAGACAGACACTCACTGACAGACATACACTCACTCACTGACAGACACACAGACAGACAGACACTCACTGACATACATACACTCACTGACAGACACACACAGACAGACACTCACTGACATACATACACTCACTCACTGACAAACACACACACAGGCAGACATTCACTGACACTCACAGACACTCACTGACACACACACAGGCAGACACTCACTGACACACACACACTGACACACAGACTCAGACATCCAGCCTCCCTACCTCCCTGGGGCCCAGTGTGGGAAAGCTCCTCCAGCACGCTGTTTAGTATGCCGGGGCCGGAATTATGTCATATTCCGGCTCGCGGTATCACAGAGGGTGCGCGAGGGAGGAGTGGGAAGCTGCAAGAACAGCCTCCCTAGCCGCCCACAATAGAGCAGCCTGCCTCCTGTCCCCCTCTCCTCCTCTCATTTCTCTGGTATTTCTTGGCAGAGCAGGCACCTGCCATCAAGGTAAGCAGGTACCTGCTCTGCCTTACCTAGCAGAGCTTTGAGGGCGCCCTGAGGTGGCCAGATGGACACCTCCTGGCCCCCCTGTGACAGGGATCCTCTGGGCACCCTGACTTTTGGGTACCTGGAGGATCGGCTCGGCGCTGGGGAGGGGACGGCTCAAGAGCCACTCACCCAGCACTGCGGACCCAGACAGGGGGAGCCCACCAATAAATATCCCGGTGGAAGCACCCCCAGCAGGCCAGCATCCTAGGCGAATGCCTAGTTCTCCTAACGGTGGCGGCGGCCCTGCCTGTGAGCTTAAGCTAAGCTACTTGAGCACAATTGGTAAGGAAAGTTCAATACTAGAAATTCTTTTAGAGCTGGAAATATTATGAAATGCTATAAATTATTTTATTGATATTTATTTTGTATGTTATGTTTGGCTTTGACTTCATTATGCTGTTAAGAACTGTGGAAATTTATGGTCTTTTATAGAATAATAGTAATAATTAGTTTTAACGAGCACGTTAATACACATGGCAAGCCTTCCTTACAATAGTTGGATTTAAAGATTCTGAATAAAAGAAATACAACAAATGCCATTTCTTTTGTATGCATAACTCAATGGGTTATAAAAATACATTATAAATCAGGGCACCTATTCCATCCACGGAGCATTAGCCACAGTCATCTTTAGGAACCGAAGCTTAAATAGAAAACAGAAACAAAGTCTATTACTAGATAAAGCATATGCTTCACCCTCTGCAGCTCTCTCTTCCTCCTTTGTTGGCCGCTAAACGGTTATTGGTTTATTAGGACTTTAAGTGATGTCCTTGTGCCGGAGCAGGCAGTAAGAAAAAAGAAAAATACAGATTTGTCAAGGATGATGTCATACAGATAGTTTCACGCCACCTAAATTATGGCCTTGCAGAACTGCTGATGGTAGCAAAGAATGTTAAAGTGATATTTCAGGTCAATTTATATATGGGTTTAATCTTCCAGGACGGGGAGTAAGGTGACTCATGACTAAAGTTTGGACTGGACCCAGAATCTACACTTACCATTTCTACTCACATTCCATTAAGAAAGATTATCTGCGGAGGTGCCCAGTAATACACTGGAATTCATATTAAGGCTGAGAATTTTCAAGGTCCATTGGTTAATAATGTTTCCAATAACAATTATTTTTTAAGGTTTCACACCTGTTAGGAATGGTAATGGTTTATAGTTTTATGTAAGACGCACACTGTTTAAGTAATGGACACGTTTTATATTAAAAATAACTTGCAAAACAATTGTGGTGTTCGGTATTTTGAAAACAAATATAGAATGATGTACCAAACTAAAATGTAGACAGAGTAATGAAAAGTAGATAAAAATTTTTTTTTTTAAATATATATATATATATATATATATATATATATGTATATATAGATATATATAGATAGATAGATAGATAGATATATATACTCAGATGAATAAACAAAGTGTGTGGCAAGGTTATCAGTCCAAAAAGATACAGCTCATTGGTAGAGATAACCACTGCCTAAATGATTTACTTCCATACACAATAAGAGTATAAAAGATAAATTGGCATAATCCTCCTCGGATATATATATATATTGCCAACATACATATAGTGATAAATAATAAGCAAGCACCAGTATATGGAACTGGCTGCTAAGAGAAATGATTATAGTATAGCCGGAGAGTAGCTAAAAAAGGGTTAAAACCCAATTTATTAAAAGTACAAAAATATACAAAAATATATGAAA